TAATAAAAAAAATGTTGTCTATTGGTCTCAGTTTTCTTCTTGTGCCTATCTCCTCAGGCTGTATTTGCTCTTTGAACTTCTCTTTCCAGTGTACCCTTGGTTTTCAGTTATATAAAAATGTTAAGGGGGACAAAGCACAAAACAGGATTTACCACCCTGTACTATGTTAATGAGGAGAAAAAAAGGAACAAAAAACTTGAGATCAGCTTTTCGAATATAGTCATTTTAAAAAGAATTTTGAGTAAGAAAACAGGTAAATGTAGTCACAGATTAAGGAGAAGGCAGGACTTGGAATAAAATTGGGAATCCAAGTTACCAGGCTGTTCTAGAACGTACAGTCTCTCTTCTTTGGGATTTGTGTTCTAGATTGGAGGAGGCATGTGTAGCCATTGCCCATCTGGCATATATTTCCTCAGGCTGTCAAGCTATATCTGATTCAGAAAAGCAAAAAAATTTTTAAGTTCTAAATTTTTTTTACCTGAGATGTAGGACGATCCTCTAAAATACTGGCCTGAGAAAACCTAATGTCCCCTTAGTTATTTCAATAGCTGCAGTTTAAGTGGAGGGCAACTTGGGTGAAGGGTAAAATGATGTGAGATATAATCTCTTCAGTCCATTCAGTGTTGCTGAACGGGCTTACACACCTTCCATGTACTGAGGGACACAAGTCTGCCCCAGAAGTCAGCTAGTCTACTCTACCTCACAGGTCAACAGCAGACTTCAGGTGATGTAGCAGACCGCTCCCCTGATGGCTGTCTCCTTTTTTCTATCCAGGGTCACACATAAAGACAGAATTTAAGTACTTTTTCCTTAGGGTAATATGAAACGTTTAACTCATTTGTTAACCTATGGGCTAAACTATTTAAACTACTGCCTAAAACTTTAATAAACAAATACATCAAATAGCAAAAATATATAATTCAGTTCCAAATGATGGCCATTAATAGGAGAGAAAAGTTAGGGAACTGGATCTAAAGGAGGAGGTCAGGAAGAAAGGGAGGGACAAAGACAAATGGTAATCAAGGTAAACCTTTTTATTCCTGTAGTTTGTAAGCTGTTTTCATAGGTCTTTCATGTTTCAATTAGCTGGATAACCACTGTTCACCTTGCAGTCATTCTTCTAAGCAGAGGAGGCTTGGCTCTCCAGGTGATACCACAGCAGCCAACCAAAGAGGAACCAGTGTTCTGAACTGGAGAGCAGTGGCCAGAGCACTTCCCGGGCTGGAAGAAATCAAGCCTAGGAATAGGTCCAGCCCTGGCCACAGGTTTTCTCCTCGTGACATAAGGCTATCTTGATGACAGCTGCTGGCCGATGATTTTCTACTAGACAGGTTGTCATTTTCTTTCTTCAGAAGCATTTCATTTTTCTTGAGAAGGATGAATTTCTTCTATTAAGGAGGAACTTGACTAAGGTGACCTACTTCTGTCTTTACCAAGAAGGCAATTGAAAAGCAGTTTTACAAGGCTCTTCATTGGGGGTTTCTGTGTTTCTTTCACAGAGATTGAGACAGTGAAATTGGCCCGTTCTGTCTTCAGCAAACTACACGAGATTTGCTGCAGCTGGGTGAAAGACTTCCCTCTCCGCAGGAGACCCCAGCTTTATTATGAGACATCAATCCATGCCATCAAAAACATGCGCAGGAAAATGGAGGACAAACATGTCTGCATTCCTGACTTTAATATGCTCTTCAACCTAGAGGTAAAGGGCACTTCTGGAGAGTCAGTGAGATTTAAAACACAAAACAAACACCTTCATGGTCCTGTTAGAAAAGGAGAACTTCTGATATATTTCTAATAGTATCTCTCATAGGTTAGAGAAGGACTAAATGCAAAGTGGCACAAATTTGCTTGCACTAGAAAATGGAAAAGGAAATATTTATTTTATGTTATTCTGACATGGTTCAAAATTGGGAAAATAAAAATCTCTCTCTCATTATCCTAGTCTTCCAGATACTCAGTTCCCCCCATGAAGGCAAGAGAGTTTCTTACGTAATCTTCCAGAGCTATTCTATGGTCTATATAAGCAAAAAGAACAAAAACCCCTCTCAATAAAGCTGTTTTTTCAAAGGAAACTATTTCTATAGTATAATCGAACAGTGTTTATTGAGTTTTCACACTACTATGCTGCTGAAGCAACGCAAACAGAAACATAAAAGAATGATTTAAGGCTGAGACAGTTTTCTGATTTCATGTGATTTTCTTTTTAAAATCTTGGTCTCTGAGATAGGAAAGTAGCTGGAATTACGTTTCATGAATCTCTGTGACTGACAAATTGGATCCATATGAGCCTTGTCAGCTTAATAACTATTTTCTTGTTAACTTTCTCTTCTTTTTCTATTAAATATATTATGTTAATGCAAACAGAAGTAGGTTTGTTTCCTTTGCCTGTCATTTGCCTCTTTTCTTCACTCAAGTCCATAACTTAAATTACAATGTAGTAATTTATACAAAGCACAACATTTCCTTCATTTAGCAGCTAAATTTAAATTTTAGCTGTCAAGGTCTAATCAGCAGTGATGGTGGGTTGGTAATTGGTGCTTATGTTATAAAGATGGATCAGCTGATGTCTATGTTTCCAGTACCACGCCCATGCAAATGTAACCCAAAAGGCTCTTGTGTGACTATGTCCTATGTCACTACACCCACTTGGAGATTATACTCATATTTAAGGGCATTATTGTTGTTTGTTGACTTAGTTGATTTTTATTTTGCCTTCTAATTTCAAAATCAGCCTATAGGCCTAACTCAGAAAGGAGCACCTTGGTATGTATAGTGAACCAGGCTTTGAGAGCAATGTGGCAACATATATTTAGAAACTTACAGATTTTCACATCCTTCGATCTGGTAATTTCACTTTTAATTCTTTATTATAAGGAAATAGAAATACAGAAAAGTCTTCTGTGTTTTGTTTGACCTAAATATTTTATATAACATTGTTCATAATGTTGAAAATGATCTAAATCATAAAAGGGAATAACTATGATATGCTCATAGATATATATTATAAGCCACTGAAAATAATGTCTTTAAATAATAATGACATGGGAAATGCTAATGATACGATAAATGACAAAGTAGGATATAAAATATGCACAGTATGATCCTAATTTTATTTTAAAAATATGCATGTAGACTTGGCACAGTGGCTCATGCCTGTAATCCTAGCACTTTGGGAGGCCGAGGCTGGAGGATTGCTTGAGGCCAAGAGTTTGAGACTAGCCTGAGCAAGAGTGAGATCCCATCTCTACAAAAAAATAGGAAAATTAGCTGGGTGTGGTGATGCATGCCTGTAGTCCCGGCTGAGGCAGGAGGATGGCTTGAGCCCAGGAGCTTGAGGTTGTAGTGAGCTATGATGATGCCACTGCACTCTAGCCTGGGTGACAGAGCGAGACCCTGTCTCAAAAAAAAAATATATATATATGTGTGTGTGTGTGTGTGTGTGTGTGTGTGTATAAAAAAGACTAGTTATCTGTGGATGGTGGGATTATAGGTGATTATTTCCTTCTTTACACTTCTCTCAGTCTAAATTATCAAACGTTATTATAATAGGGAAAACATTAGTAAACATCAGTAAATGTTTTTGTTTTTTAGAAAAGCTATACTATTTTTTTTTTTTTAAAAAAAAGAAATCCACTCAGCTCCCTTTTGTTTCTTCCGATGCGATATTGAGTTGCTTAAAAATGAGTACTGCTTTAGTGGATATAGAAATTCCACATGTTGGGATTATTTCTAGATAATTCTGTTTAATCAGTCTTCAGTGGCATTAAACTGCTAAATGAACTAGTTGTATGTGTATTAGACACAGATTTCATAGTATTTGGGTGTTATTCTATGGACATTTATATTTGGTACTTTTGTAAATGTAATACCCCCTTTAAAAAGAACTTTTTCAAAGCACAGATATACCTGTTGTTTTAGTAGCCCTTCCAAATCCCCATGAGATAGCAACTCATCCCTACTTAACAGAAAACAAGCATAAGAAAATTATATGATTTGCCCAAGATTCAATGACAGGGCCTGGATTCCTCTAAGAGCCTAAGGAAAAAGAAGTCAAAAGGCAAATGAAAACCATCACGTACTATTGCCTAGTAAGAGCTCAGGACTCAGTGAGAGTTCAGGGAGTCACAGATCTAAGTGAGACAAATCTGAGATTTAAACACTTGAGTTGAAGATGAAGAAGCAAACTACTTAATGGTTGAAATGTAATCTTATGATTAGGTTTCTTTTGTCAAGACAAAGCACAGGGTTGGAAGATCCTCCCCTGGCAGTTGCCTTTGCAAGGGAATGTGAAGGTAAATCTTGGATCATGGGCTGAGGCAAAGTGGTCAGCCACACAGAGCATTTGGGCTTGAACCATTTGCTGTGGTTCAAGTTTTGGTTAACTAGTTTAGAGACTCTGTGCTATTTACAGTGAGAATTCAGTGTGGCTATGAATGACTTATGAAAGAGGCATTATAGTTTAGAAACGTGTATGCTTTCATGTCTTTATGTATTTTAAACCTGAACATAATTGGCCTTGTGCTAGAAGGCCTATTATTTTCTATTGTTCTCAGGTTCTAATTTTACTATTAAAATACTTGTATTTTGAAAAAAGCACTCAATTCAGAACAGCTTTTGCTCAATCCTCCTCATACCTTCTTTTTCCTCCCCCTCCCTCCAACTTGTAACAGCAATTTAGAAGCAAATGTATGTGGGTGGTTTCCATGGTACAAGACAACAACTTTCACAGAGAGAAGGCACTTCAGCCTGAGCTAATTGGGCATGATGTGTTCCAGTGTTCCGGTGTGTAAACACAGATGCCCTAATATCGCAGGTATTTCAGCAGTTGATCAGGCATGTTAGAAAAGAGGAACAATTAGTCTCATTATTCTGAGTGACAAATGCAGTGGAGGAGAAGGATGGATAACAGTGATTCTAGGGGCTTCGTTCATTTGAATCATTCTATACCCAACTCCCTAAACTGTTACGTTTCTATTGACAGGACCAAGAAGAACAAGCTTACTTTGCAGTGTTTGATGGCCACGGGGGAGTGGATGCTGCCATTTACGCCTCCGTTCACCTCCATGTTAACTTAGTACGCCAGGAGATGTTCCCCCACGATCCTGCAGAGGCCCTGTGCCGGGCATTCCGGGTCACTGATGAGCGGTTTGTGCAGAAAGCAGCCAGGGAGGTATGCCACTTTCCAGCTACGAATGCACTAGCTGAGCTCAACTTGGTCTGTGTGGGTAAAGGGCTGTTTAGATTCTGTATTCTTGACCCACACTGTTGGCTTCTGTTGTAGTTGTAAGTCTAATTCCCTCTTCAGAAATAGTTTCAGTGGGGTACAATGATGTACTGTACAGAAACTCCCAAGTTGTAATTTTCTGGATTCATTTCTGTCATCATTGCCAGATTTGGCCAGTGAGTTTTGTCTTTCTTTTATTCACCATTGCCTGTCAGGTTCACACCAGGACCATCTCTCTAAGCAGACTCTTGCTGACAAGATTGGATATGGTGAATAAAACAATGGTCTAAAAAAGAAACAGAAACTGGGATTCCTTCCATACATTTGGTTCTAAATGGGTAGGCAGTGTTTTGCTATGTATCTTTTGAGGGAAAATTTGCTTGGAGAGGGTGAATCCTTAGATGATCTTTGAACTGATTTTTTCTCAACAGGAAGAAGTCATAGCTCTTGTCCTGTATTGCTAAGGTTAATCAAACCTAAGTTTTTTTACTCTGAATGAATGACAGGGGTTCTATATTGAGGTCTAAAAATAAATTAAAAAATTATCATTCTGGGCATTGGTACATAATTAACTACAGTATGCTATATTGGATTTTTTAACTGGGGACCAGTTAAAATTTAATTTTTAAAAGTAATTAAAGAATTAGATACATAACATAGGCCTCCTGCCCTATGACTTAAACATTAACTCTTTTTAAAATGAACTTGGAGACATAAGGGTAATTAATCATTTAATCCATTTCTTTGATCTCATAGTTATGCTACAAAACAATAATGGGGCTTGGAATTAATGAAACAATAATTTAGAGCTATTTGGTATTAACTAAGAGAAATATTCTTTACCTTCTCTTTTGTCCCCCAAGTTTGGATTAATATTCAGATTCAACAACAGTTAACCACTGGAGTCCACATAAAGAGGTGGGGCTGGAAAATAAAATACAACTCTGGCCCTCACACCTTCCTGGTCTCCTGAGGACCAGCATTCTGCTTGGCTGTCTCTAGAAGCCACTGGCTCTCATCATTCTGACTGAGGACAAGACCAGGCCCCTGATAGGTGATCTGTAATCACCACTCTGAAACAAAGAGAATCACCTTGTCTTCTTCATGCTCTATTCTATTCCTTTTCCTCTGTCTCCTCAAAATTATGGCTTTTTTTTCTGGCCATGTTTACCTCATTTGTTTTGTCAGTGATCCTGATATCTCTCAGTTCTGCCAATAGTTCTCTTGAATAATTTAGGTTTGTCTCAGCAGTCACTTTTCCTTCTTGTGCTTCCATGTGCTGCTAACTGCTGGGAAGAAAGTTGCTATTCCTGTTGTGAAGCAGCCCTGCCTCCTGTTCTCTCCAGGGCACATGCACTGAAGTGTCTTTATCATGTGTTCTAAGGGGCTGAGTTTTTGAACGTTCTGTGTGGGAAGATATTTTATTGGTGGGTGAGGATTTATAACAAACTTTCCCTACGTAGGGAAAATGAGAAGTTGTTTTTCTCTTTGGATACAAGGGGCCTTTTACCACCCCTGACGCATCGGTTCTAATTTAGGCCAGGTCCTTAGTAACAGAAAGTCATGCTCATTTGGTGGTGACTCATGTCAAATGGAGATGTCATTTTAGTATAGTAGGATCAAGAGCTTTAACTACAGTGGTAGCTACTGCAGTGAAATTCCAGGCTGTTAGTTCTTTATGTGATGTTTCAAAAGCAAAGGCCCCTAAAAATATTGTAGGGAGGACTTTTTTTTAAAGGTATAAGCATCTTAGTACTCCAGGGAATGTATGCTACGTCTTGGCTCCTTATCTTAATATCCAGAGACTGGGAGCATTTGTTATACACCAGTCAGATGCTTTATATGTGATTTTGTGCAGCTAGGACTCTTGCACTGAACATACAAGTAGGTTAGTAACGAAAGAGAGACCAGAATTTAGAAATTTTTAAGGATTGATATAGTGGATTTAGCACAGGACTGGGAGGAAAAAGAATTTTCAGTTCTGTTTTGTGTACTAATCAGTTACCTGTCCTTGGGTAAGTCACATAACCTGCCATAGTTTTCTTATCTGTATTAAAAATGGAATTAATAATCATCCCTGCCTTGCATGTTACAGATCAGGCGGATTAACGTGTGCATACATATAAATACATGTACATAAAATGCATTGAGAAATATGACTTGCTGTGTATTTGTGAAATTGCATTATTAATAGTCTAGCTTCTAGCTAAAAAGTTTATATTAATTATAATTTGCTTCTCAATGAGAATTTAGTGTCTATTTATTTTCACTGACTCTAATTTTATGTAAACTATTTTCAGAGCTTAAGATGTGGGACCACAGGAGTGGTGACTTTCATCAGAGGCAACATGCTACATGTGGCCTGGGTGGGCGATTCCCAGGTTATGCTTGTGAGAAAGGGCCAAGCTGTTGAACTAATGAAGCCACATAAACCAGACAGAGAGGTAAGTATGGTCTGTTCTATTAGAGCACATGCCATAAAGGCAGTTTTCTAGTTATTAATTAGGACTCATGTAATTATTATAATTATTGCCATTATCTCAGCAACTGTGCCCACCTTCCAATGGAGAAATAAAGAGAACCTTTTCATGAAGCTGATGAGTATTATATCTCATGTTTACTGTTAAAGTAGATAAATAAATCCTGAATCCAGTTATTTGCTTCTTTTTATTGCATTGCTGTTTAGGATGAAAAGCAGCGAATTGAGGCCCTTGGAGGCTGTGTAGTCTGGTTTGGTGCCTGGAGGGTGAATGGAAGTCTGTCGGTGTCCAGAGCTATTGGTAGGAAAAACAAATTTTTGTGTCTCCAAATTGTCCTCTTCTAGCTCATTGTCTTATACTTACTGTGACATAAAGGAACCTGAGATGACAATTTATATTAACAAAGTGCTTATTATTATTATTTAAAATAACAACTGGACAATGCCTCTTTTAATTATTTTATTTAATTAAGCCTGTCCATTTATATACTTAAATTTCATTATTAAAAGGGAATCATATCAAGAAATGAAGAATTTACTAGTTTTTGTCCTTTTTTTTAAAATGGAAACCTTTAATCATTAGTACACAAATCTGCTTAAAACCACTGTGATCCTCATTTCATTTCATTTGGGTCATATTTAGCTTAACTCAGTATTTTCCAGAGAATGGAAGCCTCTCTCCATATTTTACCCATATTTATTGTTTATATCCTTGTTTTTACAATGAATTCTTAAAATGACAAAACGGATAATAAATTTATAGGAAAAACATTATTCTTTTGACATAAAAGCTATTTTTCATGTGGAAATATATGTAATATATGTGGAATATAGTAATTTGTCAGACAACCCTGGGGTTTCAAAGAATCTGCCTCCCTGGGACTTAAATTTTTCAAAAGAAGGGGAAAGTCAATGAAACTGTAAGGGTATAGGTCAAAGAATTAAGTTATCTGTTTCTGTCTTTGTTTCACTTTGGGCCCTGGGTTTATTATTTTTAGGCTTCATGGCTTAGATTCATTTCCTGGTTTTTAAAAAAGAATAAATCGATATGTGTATATATGTGGATGATGTATATATGCATATATACTGCAGTTTTTAATCTCTGCTTCCCTAAAGAAATGAAGTAATTGGCCACAGGGATAACATGGATAAATGGAATTCACATCCAGTCCCCAAATTTAGTTTATCATTACCAAAAAAATTCCAGAACATTAAGAAAATCTTAAAGGATTTAGTTTCACCACTGATTCGAGTTCCTCTCACTCTTTAGGAAGGTGCTGGCAAACTGTGAAGTGGCCCAAATATGAGCAGTAGAAGGCTGAAAGAGAAATAGCTAAAAGATTCTACAAATACCTTCTGAAAAATTGAGAGTTGGCTTTACCTTAGACTGAGGGAGTTATTAGCTTTAGAATGAGGCCAAAAAGGGGAATTTCTCATTTCTAAAATACACCCTATATGGAATTATTTTTGACAACTCTTTACCAAAGACCACTTCCTCTTGATCTTACCTGTCTCTGTCAGAGGACTGAGGAGTATCTTTAATGCTTGTTACAGAACCACCTTACTAGACGATACTTGCCTTTTCTTGCTTCTAAAAATATAACAAAAGAGAAACTAAAGCAGGGGAAGAATGTCCTTGAGTAAGTGACAATCTAAGAGAGAACAAGGGGGACTGCACAGAGGAAGTGACTTTGAGTTGGATGTGGACAAGAGTGTGTAGGGAAGGAAATCCCAGGAATAGGGAAGGATAAATACACAGGGGTTTGAAAGGACAAGCAGTATTTTAGGCATAGCAACAAGCACAGGAGTCTAGAGCAGAGGGTGGGAGTGGTAAGAGATTAGAAGCGCTGGTGTCATATTGTGAAGGGCCTTACTGCAAGGCTAAGTAGTCTGGACTTTCCCAGATGAGTAAGCAGAGGGGCCCCGTGAATCAGGTTTGCATTTATAAAGATATTGGTAGTGACTGCATGGGAGGCGGGCCAGAGTGGACAGCGATCACTCCACTAAAAAGGGATGTGGAGAAGGGAATAAACTGGTGAGGCAGACTGGTAGGTGGAAAAACCCACTGCTCAGGTTACAGAGAACAGTCAGCTGAGGGAAAATAAGCAATAACATAAGGGGCAGGTGTAGATTCAGTTTCTTGGGCAGCTTGATGATGAAGGGGAGAAAGGAAATAGTGTGGTGGCTTGAGGGAAAAACTTTCCTTTTATTGTTTCTATTTTTAGGATGAGGATATTGTTTATTTGAGCATGTTGATAGGAAAAAGAAAGCAAGTAGAGGACAAACTGAACACAAAAGAGTGGAGAAGCCAGAGTCTTAGGAAGACAGGAGCAATAGAACAGGTTAGCTTTGAGAAGGGAAAGGGCTGCCTGCCTCTCTTACTCTGAGGAAATGATAGTGGATATAGGTGAATCTCTACAGACTAAAAAAAGTGGGGGCAGTAGGAATTGAGGAAATTCAAGCCTGATAAACTTAATTTTCTTTGAAGTAGGAAATTAGGCCATCTACCACAATCTGGTAGCTTGACTGGGAGTTGAAGAATGTGAGAAAGATTTGGAAATCTCATGGAATAAAATAGGGGACTATACAAACGGACAAGAAAAAGGACTCCTGAGCAAAGTTTAACTCTACTTAAAAAATAAATGATACTTTAAAAATGAAAAGCTTTTCAACAGTTTCTCCCTACGAGCCCTTCAGATTTATGATCCAAAGTTGACAGAGGCATGATGTTTCCTAACATATGGAGAGAGGAGGATGAAGACAAAAGGATGTTGCCATTTCTACCATGAAATGGATATTCATGCTTTCCTATCAAATTTGGGGGCGAAATGTCATGAATTTGACACCCTACAGTAGAGCAGGTGAAAAGCCAGAATTCTGGCAGGCATTTTCTCTGTGCAAATCTTTGTATGTTCTGTTCCAAACTAACAGTTGCAGTAGTCTTTTAATTGAAGCACTAAAACAACATTTTTGGGAACAGTATGAGTCAGAGCACATTTATTTTTAGAAGTGGAATTCAGAAAATAATAATGATTATAATAATACAGTCAGGTAGAGTAGGGGATAAGAAAATTTAGTAAAGTGGATTGGTGGAGGATACTGATCCCAAGATTGGGTTTTAATTAGCTCTAATAGGCTATTGGGAAACATTATAGTATAGAAGTGAAATTGATGAAATTAAAACCACTCTCGAGAAAGATGGTTTTGACTACTATAAGAAATAACGGGCCAGGCAAGGTGGCTCAAGCCTGTAATGCTGACACTCTGGGAGGCCGAGGCAAGAGGATCACTTGAGCTCAGGCGTTCAAGACCAGCCTGAGCAAGACCCTGTCTCTACTAAAAATAGAAAAAAAGTAGCTAGGCATGGTGGCTCACACCTGTAGTCCCAGCTACTCAGGAGGCTGAGGCAGGAGGATCACTTGAGCCCAAGAGTGTGAGGTTGCTGTGAGCTATGATAATGCCACTGTACTCTAACCTAGGCAACATAGCGAGACTCCATCTCAAAAAAAAAAAAGAATGAAATGGAAACTAGCCTAGACATGAATAAGATGAGAGGGTTATATGTTTGAGAATGAGTGGAAGGAGTGAAGATGAGCATTTTTATAGGGTCAAAAGACTATTTCTTATCTAATAGATATACTAACACAGGTCATTATATTAAGCAATGAAGAGAATGATCAGAAATTTGGTTTGTTTCTTTCAATGTGGACTTGTTCTCAAATCTCAATTAAATCTAATCTAACCACCAGTAAAAGAACAGATCTACTAAATCAACAAAGTTTTCCAACGTAGGACTGAATTTTTCAGTACAGCAACAAATTTAGATCTGACATTGTTGCTCTGTTCAGCTAAGCCTAAATCATGGCCAGAGGCACAGATTCAAAATCTAAGCTAGAGAGGAATTAAGCCCAGAAGTAAGCAGCATCTGATTACTAAAGAACTCAAGTATTTTATCAAAAACTTATTTTATAAATTCTTTCCAGTAAATTCAGTTCACAATTGAGTAAACTGTGATCAGAAGAGTCATGGCGTTGGCCAGAAAAATTCTTAGCGCGCAAGGTAAACCAAAGTCTGACTGCTGACGCCCTATTTCCGAATTCCCACAGGAGATGCTGAACATAAGCCATATATCTGTGGAGATGCAGATTCTGCCTCCACTGTTTTGGATGGGACCGAAGACTACCTCATTCTGGCCTGTGATGGCTTCTACGACACGGTAAACCCTGACGAGGCAGTGAAAGTTGTGTCCGACCACTTGAAAGAGAATAACGGAGACAGCAGCATGGTTGCCCACAAATTAGTGGCATCAGCTCGTGATGCCGGGTCAAGTGATAACATCACTGTTATTGTGGTATTCCTGAGGGACATGAACAAAGCTGTAAATGTTAGTGAGGAATCAGATTGGACAGAAAACTCTTTTCAAGGAGGGCAAGAAGATGGTGGGGATGATAAGGAGAATCATGGAGAGTGCAAACGCCCTTGGCCTCAGCACCAGTGCTCAGCACCAGCCGATCTAGGCTATGATGGGCGCGTGGATTCATTCACTGATAGAACTAGCCTGAGCCCAGGGTCCCAAATCAACGTGCTGGAAGACCCAGGCTACCTAGATCTCACACAAATAGAAGCAAGCAAACCTCACAGTGCCCAGTTTTTGCCACCAGTTGAGATGTTTGGTCCTGGTGCACCAAAGAAAGCAAATCTTACTAAAGAGCTAATAATGGAGAAAAAATCAGTTCAATCATCATTGCCTCAATGGAGCGGTGCTGGAGAGTTTCCCGCTTCTTTCAATTTGGGTTCAGCAGGGCAGCAGATACACAGAATGGAGCGCTTGTCTCCTGTCTTTTCTGGGTTGGAAAATGAACAGTTCAAATCCCTGGGAAACAGAGTTTCTAGATTGGCTCATTTTCACCACCACTACTCAAAGAGGCAGCATGGATTCAGGTTTAGTCCAAAGTTTTATTCATTTCTCTCTGCTCAAGAGCCTTCCCACAAAATAGGCACTAGCCTATCCTCACTTATTCGAAGTGGGAAGAGAAATAGGATGTTAAGAAGTTCTCTGCCATGGAGGCAAAATAGCTGGAAAGGGTACAGTGAAAACATGATAAGGCAACTCAGAAAGAGTAATGATATTCCATACCCAGATCTCCCCTGGAGCTATAAAATGTAATAATTTTTCTTTAAAGTAGGCTAGCTAGCTCTCCCCCAATAAAAACACCACTATCAGAGTAGAAACAAGGTAGACATTTCTAAAACATACGTGCTTCATTATGAATCCATGGATGGCTCAATTCTTAAATGTAAATAGATCTCTAGGAAACTCAAAATACAGTGTTTTCAATCTAAAAAAAAGTATTGGCACTTTCACTTGCAAAACTATACAACTGGTCCCTGTGATGTGTCTCCACACCTACATACAAGCCCCTCCCCACTATCCCTTCACATCACTAGTGGAAGCTTGCGAGTCAGTTACGTCAGGATATATAGTGTTGAAATTTCAATGCAGTTGAAATTTGGTCTGATGTGCCTAATATCTATGGAAAACTCAATGCAGAATTAAACTTAGTTGGGAAATGTCCCTCAAAATCCTGGGGACTGTGAAGGAAAACGTCCCCCCCACCATTCTGGGGTAGGCAAAAGACTAAAAGCCATATGGTTTTTAACTGGTAACAAAGTAGAAAACTAGTGTAAAAGTGTCATCTTCTCAGACTTGTGAGGCGGTTTACAGTCAAAAAGATTTACTGATTTTTTTTCTGTAAAATAATAGACTGAACATTTTTTGAATTAAATATTTCCTAGGGCTGTAGTTATTTGGGGTTTTCATAACTTGTTATGGTGCTTTTGGTGGAATTTTTATTAGTTAGCATTTTAGGGGACCACTGTCAACTGGTTTTAATCTGTGATGCTAATGTGTTTTTCACTGTACCTTCATCTCAGGAATAAAACTGGTTTAATGGAGATGATGTTGGGTACAAATATACTAGAATCAAAATGCCATTTAAAAAGAAAATCAAATAGCATTTTTATATTTTTTGCCTTTATTTTTTAGTTCAGACAGCAAAGGCATATACTACTATAAAATAAAAAGTGGTTTTGGAGAATGAAAATTGCTCGTTTTAACTTCTCTAAAATGATTTACTCCAAGGGAATGAATTGGTGTGAAGGAGGCTGAACGTACTGCCTCAAGTGAGCCCAGAGGCCAAGTGCAAAGGAGAATGCAGATTACCGAGAGGCAGGTCTGTTTAGTTATAATTGGAGGACGCACCAGTGTCCTGCTACATGCAGCTTCTGACTGCAGATACAGGACGCGTGCTTCTTATTTCAACAGTTATTCTTGATATTTTAGAATTACCTAGTGTTTGCTCTTTCTGTGGTTCCAAGCTAGAAGCATATCTTCAGTTAAAGACAGCAAATAAATAGTGATTCATTCAGTGAAGCAGCCTCTGATTTCTCTGAGAATCATGAATGTCTTGGCATTACCCTCCCTTAGTCAACTGTGGACTAGCCCCGCCAATGGACAAGGCAGCCCGTTGCGGTGATCACTCATACTGTTAGGACGCACTAAACGCTCTTGCTGAGAAATGTCCATTGCCTAATCATATTTTTACATGATAATACAATTACTTTATGTTCCCCAGACTGATAATGTGGGACTGAAATTCCTGAATTTTAAAGACATAGATAACTGTAGCATATTTTGGGTGCCAGTATAGCTATATAAAAAAATAAAAACAGCTTCACTTTAGCTATGATCCGATTGTTAATCTACAGATTTTATTTTTAAAATTTGGATGTAAGAGATTTTTCAGTATTTGTTTTCTCTTGATTTGGAAGTCAATTCTTCTTTTCTCAAGTCTGTGACACATGGTTGAAAAGGAGTGAGTAAACATGGCTCCAACTACAGAATTAGAATCTTTCATCATTCTGATGCTTTGCCCCCACACATGGACCTCACTCATAAATGTCATTTTCTGAAGCCTAGATCTTGTTAACAACCCATCAGGTGCAGTGTTGGTTCCAAATCAAATTATTTAAGAAAACAAGAAAACAGGGGCAGCAGAACATTGGTATACGTTATAGTCCAAAGCAAAACAAATTAAAAACAAATTTCTATAGTCTATTGGTAATGTTTTTGATCAGAGTAAAGAAGGTGAAAGGAAAAAGTTACAAGTGATAGGCTTTTTCAGTGGGGAAAAAAATGGCTGGATGAAACTGGGACAAAGACCCATCTTTAAGGGTCTGGGTTTTGTAGGTCTGACTACATAGCAGTGTTAATTCCATTTCTCACACCATTAGCTCTCTAGAAAATAAAGCAAAGTAGTTCTAGTGTGGTCGTTATAAAACCAATATTGTAAAAATAGCTACTATTCATTGTTCACAACATGCATATTGATAGAGTAGTTAGGTACCATTTGTAAGGTAAGTCCTTTAAAATTCTATAATACATACTAAAGTAGTGGTTATCGGTCTGATATATGCTGCTCTTGGTTCTATAAATTAGATAAAAAGCAGTGCTTTGTGAAATGCAGTGTTATATCTTAATGCCACTGGTGATAGAAAGTAGTTCCCTTCAGTTCAAATCCTGTGCCCTTATTTGCTGCTTGCTGAAGTAAGCAATAAGTAACCCTCTAACTAACGGTATCTACACATTTCTGTAACTTGTATTTAATGATGGTGTATCTGGTGATTGTAAAAAATATTAGACAGATATAAAAAAGTATATAATATACATTAACTGTTAATGCTGAGGTATAATCTGTGAATTATGTGTTCTGTACTTTTATTCATTGTGTAATTTAGTGGTGGTGAAAGTTCTACACTCAATCCTTAAAGAGTGGCAGTATCCCTTTTTCAATCTAACATGATCTGCATCAATTTGTTTGCCTGCTAAACAAGTTTTGTTAGAATAGGAAATAGTAAAACCAAACATAAACAAGAGAGTGTAGTATTGGTAGGGAAACAGACTTCAAGTCACCAACTTAAGTCATTACAAATGTACTCCTTGTACAGTCACTGTGAGTTTCAAAGGGAGTCAGTCCCTAATTTAAAGGTTTTCTTTGTTCATTTTCTAGATGTGTACTTTTGAGGGATATCTGAGGTTAGGCAATATCACAGCATCAAACACTGGGGTTATTGATCCCACTTAAGTCTGTACTAAAAAGGATGGGTAGAAACACATATGTATATATCTTTTCTTTACCTAGAAGTGCCATCCATTGTCCTTGAATTAGTAAGATTAAAGTTACTGTTGTATTTAACTAGGAGGCTCCTTGAAAGTAACACCTTTTCCAAGGGCAATGTCAATGTTAACACTGAGTCTAATTCTGACCACATTCATAGTGGTATAGTGTCAACACTGCATTTTCATGGCAACCACACTCCATTGTTGGAACACTGTGCCAGTAAGAAGTGCAACATCCACCGGGCAGATGAAAATGATGCATAGAGCAGTTCGGTGTTTACAGATCAAATTGCTGTGGTTCAAGTATGTCCTTCCCCAGCAAAGCCTTGCTGAGAATTTGTGATCCAAATTATTAGTTTTTAAACCTAATTTATTCACTCAATGAGCATTTTAACCCAAGCAAGGCCATAAACGGGGATACTGGAGTTTTGTTCACAACTTAATTTGAGAAAATTTTTCTTTGGATCATAAATAAGCAAAAGAAAGAACATTTTTTTCCACCTTTGAAAATCATGTGATGTTAAAGGACAAATACCCACTCTTCTGTTTTGACCTGTGAATAGCTTAAATGTCTCTTGCAAAACAAAATAAGATACTGCCAGTATTATAACACAACTATTTTCCAGAAAAATGGTACTGTGTTCAAAAATAATTGTTACTTCCTCTAGCAACATTTTATCTTCTATTTCCAAGACTACTGATTGTACTAATTATAAAACATGAAACAGGACAGGGAACTCCAGACTGACACAGCAGTTGATTTTGAAAAAGGAAATACTCTAATAAACTTTGATGTATTAGATAATCCACAGATACATCATTGTAAACTCTTATTCTAGGTGCTCTTTGGTGAGACAGGCTTTGTTCTCTTGTTCATGACATTTCTCTGCAAAGAATTCTCTATGGAGTGAAACGAATGAAGTGAATAATTCCTTACCAAGTGAATTTATCAATTTACAAACCTGCTCTACAGCTCACTTCTGAGTTCAGTTGTAATCATGAGTGATTCTTCATATTTTATTAAAACTGTTCATACAGGTAAGGAGTATGTTGAAATTTTGCCAATTATCTTAATAAAACCCAACAACTTAAAACCACTAGTCATTTGTGTTTTTATTTAAAGGAAAGGTAAGTTATTCAGTGTTTAAATTTGGGCAGATTCCCTCAGAACTGGGGGGAAAAACTACCTTGAGGCAGTAGTTTTCTTAGGCTTGGAATATTTAAAAAAGAAAATTTGCTAAGTGCTGCCAAAACATTATTTCCCCCCAGAAAATACAGAAGATATCTATTTCATTTTATACATGTTTTCGCCATTAGTTTAATTGGGGGAAGAGAGAGATGGATAGGGGTATTAGAATCCTAAAAGGAAAGAGGAACAGGACTTGCCATGGGCTAAATGGTGACTCCACAAATCTCCCAATAACTTCATCCTTAGAACTCTGCATCCAATCACTCAAGTTTTTCCCTTTCACTAAGGCTTTCCCCTTTTAGTTTCAAACTAGAAGAAAGAAAGAAAATAATCAGGTGAGTTGTGGTTGCAAATCTTTCTGGAGGATTGTGGATAAGATAGAAAAGAAAGGACAATGTGGAGGACAGAAGTGAAGCCAATTGAGCAAGACAGCTGCATCTAAAGGGATGATGTTGTTATCAGAAAGATCACGAGAAAACTTTTTCAGCAAGAGACAATCTGCAGATTGGGGTAGCATGACCTTGGGAAGGCCAAAAGGACACATTCTGCAGAAAGGGAGGAGGAAGCTGGCTTTTATAACTTGTAGGATTTAACATACATATTTAGCAAGGGGTGGGGAGTCTTACGAATATTGATGGGGGGGAGCAAATGTGTGCACAGTGACATAACACATATGTAACACACATCCCTTGTTCATTTGGGGGTTGCGTTTTAACATTAAAATGAGGTGGAGTTCAGCTCTTTACATCCAGAGGTCTTACAGGACTCCAGGAGCCTGCCAAAACTTTTGAGTCCGTAG